ACAGATTTAGCGGAAGCCACTAGACTTAACTTCAAATTGACTTCCCACTCCAGCCAAAAATTAATTACCGGAAGCCACTAAGTGTGATTACAACGGGAACTCGAACCCTCCCACTGTCGAAGTGAAGAATTGGAAACCGACGCTTTTACCATTAGGCTATACAACCCTTTGAGTGGAGAATCCAACCCAAATACCCCATATTAAAGAAGGTGCTAGAACACAATATTAAGGCCAAACAGAATTAGCGGCAGCCACTAACCAGTAGTCGGAGTGAGCCTCCAATCTAGAGCTGAAGCCACCACCTGTTAAATGTCTTGAGAGCCCACTGAGTCACCAATATGCGTGGCCAGCTGATGGGCTTTTTGGGCTTCTTGCATCGTCTGCTTGAGTTGGAGGAAGAATGTGCCCCAACACTCATTGCCGCCGCTCTGTGCCAAACCAATATGTGGACAGTGGAGCCCAAATTCACAGCGGCCAGAACTTCAAAACAGGCTTGCCACAAACAGGATGGCTTTGATCTGGGAAGCCACCACCTTCACAGTTCACAGTGAATTGGTGAGAAAGTGGTGGGGTGAAGTGCCACCATGCAGATGTGTTCATGTCGGGGGCTTGGATCAAGTGACTTGTCGGTTTGATCCATAGGGCTTGGATCAGCGCTCTGATCCATAGGGTTTGGATCACTCTCACTGCAGCGCGGAACGATCCATACCAGGGTTTCTGGCCACACCCATATATATATATATATATTAACTGTAATAGAGGTTAATCAAGAGACTTTTCTCCAAACAGAGAACTTGTAAGAAACAGCACTCTATACCAGGACCATCCTGTTTAGGTGCCTTGGCTGGACTACCCTGCACTTACCTAGGCAAGTATCTCCAAGTCATGAAGCGATTCTCGCCGAAGTTGTGGTCCCCTAGCCTTCGCTTCCCTTCGGTCGAGGTCGGCACAGTGGAGCCGCATGTCTTCGTGGAGTTCTACGCCGGCGAGGGGGATCCGGAGTTCTTCAACAATGAGGAGCACACCCAGGCCATGCAGAAAAGACTGATGGCTCCACACAGCTCCACATGATCATCCACATGTGATCATCACAAGAGGTCATGACGGTGGTGCAGCGTGCAGCGTGGGGGGGGGGTATGGGAGACTTTCTTTCTCTCTCTCTCTCTCTCTCTCTCTCTGTTGAAAAGCATAGAAGAGCACCCACTTCGGAGGGCACTTCCCCTGATTAGTAGTGCACAGGCCTTTCCAGCATCTATAGGCTGGCAACTGTATCTGAAAGCCAGCCACAACCTTTTCTAACCTGCTCAGTCCAGAGATTTTGAGTAGATGCTTAGAGGTCTGAAAGAAATAGATTCTATCAGGGATGAATGCCCATGTAGCAGGTTACCATGAGTTGTGAAAACAGCTGTGCCCTGCAAGGTCTTGGCAAATCAGAACCTTGGTCCAATCGGTGTGATGTCGATGGCACCTCCGTCACAGTCCCAAGACATCCCCAGACAGTGCCCTCTATGAAAACCCGGAAAAAAACACGACCCTACCTGTGAAACTCACACAGATTCACACAGAAGGATCCGACGGAGCGAGCCTGGCTTTTCATGCATCACAAGCTCTACTTGGGCAGCTGAACAGTGAACGGGACCCCCCCATCCCTGAACCAATCAAGTAAGCATAGGCTGTAAGAATTTGATTATGTTTGACTACATTAACTTGTTCCATTTTGTTCCATGTTAATTATACAGTAATGTGCCTATAGCTAGTCCTATAGCTTGGGCATGGACGTGATACAGCAACTCCACCGCAATCCAGCCAAGGAAGATCCGAATCCGTGGCATTGGCCCGGGTAGCGAGAAGGGACGCATGAGTCCGGAGCTGGAGTCCGTGGTGGAGGAACTGGCTGCGTTTCGGGGGTAAATCCATGTGGATGAGTGGGTCACAGATCGAGTGGTGAAACCGAGTAGATGGCACAAACCCCTAGTTACACGTCTTTTAGATAGGGGTTCATAGTTTAAAACAGTAACAACCTTTTAGGATCTTTTTGATATTGCGGCCATTTATTCTTGAAACCACTGTAGCATGATGGAGCCACTGAAGAGAGGAACCGTGGATTTTCTTCGGCCACCCACCCATCCAGAGAAACCCCTGTCCGTCCCACGGGGCGCCCGTTTCAGACCTGTCCGTTGTCGAGTCCTCGGCCGATGGAAGGAGTTCCAGACCTTTGTGGTGGACTACCTCGGTGGAGAGAAGGATGAAGATTGCGATGGCCTGGGTGAGGACGTCTACCACTGCAACGTCTTCTTATGCAGGTCGGACAAGACGGCGACGGCGCGTCTTTTTCTTCGGGCTTCGACACGGCCAGACGGACAAAATTTGAGAGACCAGTTGAAACAGAGGAATGAACCCCACGGGACTGTCAGGTTGTTAGAATTGGGATGAATTGTGTTTGTTTATCCTTCTGGCGGGTGATCTGAAAAGGTAGACACTCAAACCTTGAAGGCAAGTCCGTTCATGTTCCAAGGAAACTGGTGAAGGATGGGTGATTTCATATGAAGTTTGTCGGCTCCTTCACTTGTTTTTGGTGTAGTTTCGAGCATGGTGAATTCCACATAGACACTGCAGAAGTGATAGACAAACTGATGTACGCAGTTGTGTCCGCTACCCCCTTTGTAGAGCGACAAGAGCGGCACCACTTTCGATTTCTCCAGGGGCAAGTTTGAGAACAACCTTGCCCAGTGGACGATGCGGCTTTGTGCCCCTCGATGGTCGCAATGCATGGTGGTACCATGGTGGTACCAACAGCCCATGAACTTCATGCCCCTAAGTGCAGCCACTAAAAGCATATCCTCAACTATAGGGATATCATGGAATGACTTCAGTTTTGAGGGTCTACTTGGTGTTCCCAGGGTCCTTGCCCACTAGTGGTATCTAAAATCTGCAGAGATGGAAGCCGCCCTGGCTGATATTACGCCGTAGATTTGCTTGTGTGTGTGGTTGTTTTCTTGCTGGTGGTGTGCCTTTGTGCCATTGATGTGAAATGATATGACATTGAAGTGTGTTGCTCAAGGGTTTGTTTTCTTGGGTCGGGGGGTGAGGCTGCAGCGTTTGACAAGTGTTGTGTGGCATCACTAGGTTTTGTTCCATTGCCTACTGTAAGAGCCGGTGAACAAGTATCACATATTATATCACATTATATGTTTCACATTTTTTTGAACAAGGCCTTTACTAACCATCCACTGTTACTGTTACCGGCAATAGGATCGACCAAAGCCTTCACCATTAAAGTGTCAGCTTTATAGTTTGGACGGACAGTTGCACAATGATCGAAGTTTGCTGGGAGAACAGCTGTTGACACAGTTGACAGCCATTTGTTTGTAAATGTAGATCTATTGATTGTGTTTACTGTTGCCTCTCCAAGTCTGTAAACTATTCGTCCCTGTCTCTATCTCGTATTTGTTGTTTTTGAAAATTGTTTGTTTGCATCGCAATAGCTATTATATACATACTGTGTTTTATCCTACTGTTGCTGTATTGTTCTATATCTCCCTCCCCTCTCTATCCATCTCTCCATTTGAACCCAGCACATGAAGCTGGGCACTGAGAAGGCCCGAGTAGGGCATGGCCCGGGCACTCCTAGGACTGGATGGTAGACAGGTTGGGGTGGAGTTTCATCGCTACTTGGATGCATCATTGAATCATATGTGTGTCCTTCGATGTGTTTGTTCGGTGGATTCCTTGGCCCCGTTTGTCCGCCTGTTTTGCTGCTATAGATTGATTGGTCCGTGTGTTTTGGGTGTCGCTTTGGTTCACTTCATTGGGTGTCGTGGGTTGACCGGTGGGCGGCTTGAGCCATTGACGTTCCGGATTAGCTTTGGCTGCCAGTCCGACCATTCATCGGAGGCAGAAGAATTTAGCCAATGGTGGAAGGAGGTGGAAGGACCCAAACTTACCCTTCCACCATGAGAAGAATCTACCCTTCCTTGTGGAAGGACCATTTAGTTCATTTCCCGTTGGTTTTTGTCGCAACATGGCCTTGATGAGTTTTCTGCCCAGCCCTTCGGTCTCGGGGTGTGAGACGTGTGAAGTTCTGACGCTGAATGTAGACTCTTGATTGACAAAAGCCCCCATATGAAGAGATGCTTCAAGAATTTCCTTGATCCACATGTTCTTTTTGATGAATCCAGAGTCTATCTTATCATCGGATCCTTGATTCAGAACAGCTCCCCACCCACCTTCACCATGTTCACAGCACCCCATCTCCCAAGGTCAACACACTGACCTCCCTCACATCCTGGCTTTTTCCCACCCACTCTCCGGCTGCCCCGCTGGGACGTCATTCGAAAAGCTCCCGGCCGCAACGACCGACACGCCCCAGATCGACCGCCAGCAGCCAGTGGTTGTCAGACCGACCGCTCAGGTGTCGTCGCTCTGCAACATGGGCGACTTCGGCCAGAATCGGCTGCAACAGGTGATCTTCCGCTTCGACGGAGCCGGGGCGCGCGTTCCGGAAGGGTGGGTCTGGTGTGCGGTCCGAACCGGGCATTGGGGGGGGTTGGGCTTGAGAGGAGTTGATGAGGACCAGGGCTTTGGATGAGCTTTAAGGCCCGGGATGAGTGGGCCCACTCTGGAAGAAATGAGTTGGTGTGTCAAATTTAGTGATTTGTGCTGTGGAGTTTTGAGCCTTCGTATCAGCATTTGTATGGCAATTGGTCAGCCTAGGCCTATATGGCCAGGTCAGCCAAAATTTATGTCAAAAGGATCCGCTATGAGGTCAATACAGCTTGATTTTGATCAACACTTGAAAGAACTGCCGGCAACATCAGTGATCACTTGGTATGGGTACTACGGTACTACGAACAGACATGAAATCCCTTGGTGTTGCTTCATGGTATCGATTCATCGTGCGTTCCACGCGTCTGACGGCCAGATCTCACCCCGTTGGCAGGAGACAAGCGGGCCCTGCCTGTGTCGAAGAGTGTGAATCCTATGATGGAGCTGGAGACCCCAGGGCTGCCCTTTACACTAAGTCAGGCTCGCACTCGGATGGCTTTTGGACTTTGAATAATGACGCTGTTTTGTTTGATGTGTTTCCCTTTCATTTGTCAGATCTGGCAAGACCAGGGAGTTTAGCAGATGTAGCACTGAAAGGGGTGGTATTAAGAAGAATCACTGTGCCCACTGGGCCACAAACTCCCGTGAACAGCTTCCAGGGCCTATTCCAACGGCGCTGCCGAGGTCGTTGGATCCTGCCAACTTCCCAGAGTATTGGGAGTTCGAAGAGGTTGGATTTGTTGAGAGGAAAAAAGCATTGCTATACCGTGATGAGTGGACTCATGTGAACTCTGGATTCGTGAAACGGGCGGGGAGTTACAACCTGAGATTTGGAAGCCATTCCAACTTCCTGAGATCCGGAAGGACTAGGCCCTATAGGCCTTAAAGATCACCAAGATGACCATCACATCACATGTAGCAATTGGCAGTGACGCCATAGGTGCGAACACTCTTTAAATTGTTGATATCCTTAGTGCGAATACTTCATGACCCTTCCCACGGGAACACTCCGGAACACTCCTTGTGATGGAGGTGCTGGAACAGCGCGAGGTCCAACGAGTGAAGGCCTGCAAGCCAGATGAGAAGGCGCGAGCGTGAACGGGATGTGCCTGTGCAGCGTGAACCAGATGTGCATCCTAGAAAATGAGCACAAAAACCTACAAACCGTACAAACAGGACCCCCATACTTTCACTCCAACTCTTCCCATTCCCCGCTGCCCCACGGACCGTGCCATGTCCCCCCCAAATCCGAACTGTCAGGCGGCCTTGCAGGAGCTAATGGATCACACCTTTAAGCGCGTCCTCACACGCGATCGCGTGCCAGACGACGCCGGGCATGCCCAGGGACCCGCAGGGACCCGCAGGGACCGGACGAGAGCGGCCTGGCCACTCACAAGCTGGCTGTTGGTTGTGCCAGTCTGTGGTGAAGATCGCATGTGTCTTTTCATTTCATATTCAGATTTGAGGTTCGCATGGGAAACGGCAAGAAACACACTGCATAACCTTTAGTTGGGATTGAGACACCCCACTCAGAATGAACGGATCGAAAAAGGTGTACTTTTAGTACTTTCCAAGGCTTTCCCGAACACCTCACCGTGGGCCGAAACGCTCAGGATGCAGAAGATGACGAGGAGATGCCATACCGACTGGAGGTCGGGCAAGAAGACTGGATGAGATGGATGTTCAAGCTGCGTTTTTTCAAGGTTTTCATAGCCTCGCGCCTAGTCGATTTTGAAAAGGTAGAAGAAAAACAATGACTATATACCTGGACCATCCAAGGGGTGCCCAATGGAAGCCTTTTTCGGTAGTGTGGGGTAGTTCAGCGCGGCCACCCCTTGGATGGTCCTGGTCTGTGACATCCGGATGTTCACATCAACCCATGGGATCCGATACGCTTTGCCGTCTGGAGGTTCCCAGCCCCAGGCCTTGGCCTCCGTCCCATTCCTTTCGCACTCGGTCGTCTGGTCCCCTTCGAAGCCCAGATCCATCGGACGCCCCAGGTGGTCCATGCCTTCCGATCCGAACACGCCTGCTGGAGCCTGAGATCGGCTCCCGAGCGCGCTTTCGCGGAGCTGCGCATGGGACATGGAACAGGCCCAGTGAGTGGATAAAGAATAATAAATAGGGGGGGAGTGGTGGCACCCCACTAAACATCACAAAACAAGAACAAGGTAGAGAAAGGTTACTGTAACCTTGATTTGTCCAGGGAAACTGAAGGAGTCAGGGAAACTCACCACCCTGTTTGAGCTTTCGAGATGAGATTCATGGTCGTGCTTGAAGTAGATGGCCATGTCATTTACTGCCATTTACTTCCATGCTTGAAGTAGGGGTCGGGGAGTGTAGATGGATTGTTTGGATCGCTGTAGCTAGTGAAAGATTCTAAAAGATCAAGATGGAGTCGAGTGCTTTATCATCTTCCTTGGTAGTTCCAACAAACGTCAACCCAAGTTTCATCCATGCTGTGATCCATGATGACTCTTCTCTTCAGCCTTCCGTCCAAGGGCTGAACGCTATGTTGTGCGATGCTGAAATGGACAAGGAGGCCGGTGAGATGGACTCAACGTGGGAGCCCCTCTCCCATGGAGCCCCCGGGAAATCCCGGGATGACATCGAAGCCACCCAAGCCTTGGCGGTCATAACGGAACGAAGAAGTATCCAGAACTTGGGTGTTTAACAAATAATTTTGGTTGTGCGACCATTTGTTGACCGATTTAAGTAAATTACTATACCACATCCCAAGATGATTTCAGATGGAGTCTTCACCTAGGTATCCCTTCTGATGGTTTTGTCGTGTTCTTTTCCATAGCGCCTTGCTGTTTCGATTCAGACTCATGCTTGGCCCGGTGGAAACTCTAATCACCTGAGCAGTCTACAAGCTTCTGTCCTTAAAAAGCAAGACCAGCATTAGCTTGTGCGTATTCTTCGGAATTCTTTTGATGTCCATCCCCTTCAGGAGCGGTGAAATAATTCGGATCTAGACGTTCTCCAATCTTCATCCGTACCAATTCCAAAGAAGCTTCCGAACATGGCATCGCTACTAGGAACAATGTTCGCTACGAACGGGGCTCCTGGCATCGCTACTAGGAACATCTAGGAACAAGATGCCTCGGTCCTGTGAACACCGGTGGCCCCCCCATTGGATGCCACGGACGTGGCACCGCACCAGGCCGAGGACTTCGAAACGAAGACCTCGACGCTGGAGACGCTGCTGTCCGGGCGGTTGAAACCAGGCGAGCTCGACGGGTTGGGAACAACGTGGAGTACCCAGGGCCTAACGGTGCCGGATCTCCAGGAAGGGCAACAATGTTTGTGGAAGGTTTGGGTAGAATGACTCTGGAGTATTGAGGGCAACCACTGGTAAAACAGGAAGCGGAAGGGTTTTTTGCAGCTTGCTGGATTCTTGACCTTCGAATCCGATGCAACTTGGAACTTGGGACTTCATTACCTTACATTATAGTTCATACCAGCCACAAGACTGCTATTGCATGCCAGTCGTCCAACCCTCGCGATGCCATCACATGTTGTTATTGTTGAAGGTGGGACAGTGCGCCAGGTAGAGTTTGTTAGCTAATTTATGTACAAATGGTCCTTTTATGTCTTTTGGTTGCTTCAACATGTTCAAGGGCCTTTTCTTCAGCCTGTTCCAATTCCATCTTCCTTCGCCCGGCCATTTCTTGGCCTCCCTTTCACCACCGATCACATGGGGCGCCCGTGTGCTGTGCGGCACACGTCCGAGCGCAGGTGAGGCGTACTTGTACCATGGAACCAATCCCTCCTCAGCGGCTCGGTTCCGGTTCCGGAAGTCCGGACGGGTGGAGCATGGGACAAGCATCCATTTTCCCATGGTGCTTGGAAAAGGTTCTGGATTCCATGTCGGAATGGTTTTTAGTCCCTATAAGCCTATATAAGTGAGTGGATAATGGGAACCCCTATCCTACCAATATAAATAAGCATCCCTTTCAAGCTGATGGTGTAGGGGTTTTATCAGTCAACAGTTGGCGTTATGCGGGACGGGTCTCATTTGCCACGTCATTTGGAGGTCCATCAAAAAGCAGGTCCTTGTGAATTACACCATGTCACTGCGTGTTTTGAGGTGTCACTGCGTCGCCCAGCCTACGTGGAACCATGAATCCATCGAGTTAGTTGGTTCGTGCGAATGTACTTAAACAGCTTTCTTTTTGATGTGGGAACCCCCATTAAAAAACGAGTTCCATCCAAAGAGCGGGGTGGCGATTGCTCCACTCACTTGGGTCCAACCAAAGAAAAAAGACCAACGGGACCTCTGAGTTCTCGGAGATCTCGGAGTTTCCTTAATTCTCTCCCTTTGGGAAGCTCAGCTCAAGCTCCAAGGCCATGAGCATCTTGAAGACGGGCTTCGTGCTGGACCATGCTGGCAGCCGCCTCCTTGGAACAGCAAAGCTGCACTGGATGGATCTCTTGAAATTTGGGGAATGGGTTAAAACCGTAGCTTGACCTCGTTGGTTGGTCAACCAATGTAACTAATTATCCACTGCCACTTGTTCTTGTAAAACCGCGGTCTCGAGCCTTCTCAGCAGTGATCTATATAGATTCCGTGGAAGTTTTCATTTTGACATTCCGTAGCATGTCAGTTTTTTTGGGAGGATACATGGGGATGCCGTGATAGTGTAAGTGGTTTAGGCTTTAAGTCCTCCTTTGGTTAAGAAGTAGCAGGGCGAATATATCATTAACCAGCTGACTATATAGTCAAGTACCGCTCTCGTTGATGATAGTTATACATGTGACTACCACCTACACTGAGCCAGTAGATTCCTCGAACAAGAGGCACAAGTCAGCATAGGATGCTGTGGGACTCATCATAGTCGTAGATGCAGAGGCATACAGCAGTAGGACAGCCATGGGGAGTTCTATAGAAGCCTAGAGGCAGCTCACTAGGATCCGTAAGTAGCGCATTCTTGACAGACGGCTTGCAAATGGCTGGCACCACGAGGCATTTGCTTTGGAGGAAGAAATCCTTCCCAGACACTCCATGTATGCCATATATGCCTACATTGACCCCTCAAACCACCCCAATGTAGGCTTATACGGCATACATGGAGTTTTTGGGCTTTGGTTTTTCGGGCCAAAGCCGAACACCGGTGTTCACGCAAATGGTCGAGGTGCCACGGGCACCATGTACGGCGCTGGAGCCGGGGAGCTCACTGCCGGGTTCCGGATGAGCTGCATGGTATGGAATGGTTGATGTCGTTTCTGTCCGGACAATCCAAGGACAGATGATCCAATCCAAGGACAATGCAATTCCATGTTTATATAGTTGCTGATCCAATCCCAGCACAATCCAATCCATTGTTTAGTTTCTTATACAAAATTACAAATGAGCAGACATCATACAGTGATACAATGCCGTGTAGTCGGAGGTGAGTCGGTTGGTGACCCTGAACGGATGGTGGTCGTTCTGATCGTTCCCCCGTTGCACCACGCCGCGCCGAATCTCCCTTTGTGGTGCGGGTTAGCTCCACGTTTTGTGCATACCCGTTCTGTTCACACTTGTCACTTGCCGCAAAAGAAGGATTGTGAACTGCCACATGTGCAAGTCTTTAGTAATTACAGTCGTTTCCCATCAAACTTGAAATCTTTGCGTTTCGATCGGTGAGAACGGTGTGTCGATCGGCTTTTGGGTGTCTCTACTCGTCCCTTCCAACAGTTTGGTATTAAACGACTCATATATTCAGAATGGGCTCATGCTGGGCTTGATCGGATTTTGCTTTGGGAGCATCCATTCTGGAGGCATACGGACCAAAATTCGGATATACGTTTGCTTTTAATCTGTGATCCTGCTTGCTTGTTTCATGTTCACTACACTTTGGCACTGTTGGGTCAAACTTCGTTCATTTGCACCCTTCGGGCCCTTAGAAGCTTTTGGGGAGGCTAGACTCCAGTTCATGGGTGACGTGTACTCTCGGGTCTCCGAACATTGTGCTGGGCAGGCCGAACATATCCGAACCCTTTGGGGAAAAGATGTGAACAACAATTCCCCAATCCTGGACCCCAAGAGCTGCAGACCCTCGGTCTCAGACCCGCTGCAGATCTACATGGCGGAATGTTCCTCCAAATCGGACGAGTATGGTCGGGACGACGGTGGAAACACCTATCCCTCGCTGCATGCCATGCTTGTGGGCCACTTGCCTGAGCTGAACCCGGACAGAGGGAGGGAGGCCTCAACAGTTTGAGGAAGAGCTATGAAGAGCTCACTTTGTTTTGCAGTTTTGCGCACCATCTTGGGTTGCGTCACATCAATATCATCAATAACATTGGGTTTTCAGCCGACGTTTGACCCTTCTGCATTTGATTCGATGTGCGCAAGAGACGAGCCTTTGAGCACGCCTTGCGCAAGGGCCTTCCTCGGATTTCCTTGGTAAACATGTTTTGTTATTTGTTGTATGGATTTGCTTAGGTGCTATTTGTGCGTTTAGTTCGTATCTTCACCGTCAAAGTGCATGTGCATTACATCCTTGGTCCTTGCACTACATCCTTGTGCATTACATCCTTGTTTTGCCTTGACTTGCACCACCGAGGGCTAGGCTAAACTGCAACTCGGTCCTGTCTTCTCGACACTTTCTTTGCAAGGAGTCGCGCATGTTTGTGGTCGCATTTGTCTCTGTGGCTGGGCCTATCATGACACGTCTCATCATGTTCACCAGTGTTCGCCTCCCTCTGTCAGTGTGATCCGAGGCAAGTGCTACGTGGGCAAGCCTTACATCACCGATAAAGCTGGAGATCATGTGCCCGAAGCGCAGTCCATGGGCTTGGATTGCATTTGCGGCGACCGCGAATCCAAGGCCTGCGCTTTACCGTGCATGGCGTGTTTTTGCGCGAAGGGGAAACAACGCGCCACCCGGTTGGCTATGCGAAAAGGACGTCGTGGTCGATCGATATTGATCTAGTGCTTTCGTAAGCTTGCAGTAGATGGGCATATTGCAAATGACCTCAGCCGTGAACATCGTGAACCCAATCAAGCTTCTGCCAAGGGCTAACTTGATGTTACATGACATGACATACCCGTCCGTACATTCCGCGTGGAATGTTTTCGGGTGCCGTCCCTTTTCTCACCAAACTCTGGTGTTCTGAGAGGTGGGCACCTATCGAGAGTTTGTCTTCTTCGATCAGCGGCAGGCGGGTGGCGGGTCGGGGCGATGGGTCGACTCAGCGATGGGTGGAGCGCCCCACCACCTGGAGCCGCGCCGGCCGACAACATCGGGGGTGCTGCCAGTGACCCAGAGCCATAGATCAAACCTTAGAAATGCCTCCACGACCGTCACGACCCAGGTCCCCCAAATGACACAAGAAACAAACCCAGCTGCATGCCTCATGGGACAGCCGTAGTTAACATTGGGGTGGCTTCAGTGGTCAAATATAAGCATAGTCCAGTCCTGTGGAGTGGAAAACATCATGAACACATCGAAAAAACAAGTGGGCTCTAAGTGGACTCCAAGATGTGCTATAGTCTTATGTCATCTTATGTCACTGTAGAACATGCTGCTAGAAGTGTTTTGGTCTCTAAAGGATGCAGGTTTTTGAGGGTTCCATGCTCACGTCCATGTTGGGTAGGTCATGGGAAGCCGGTCGTTCCCACTTTGGAGCTGCCACCGCGGAGCCTCTTCCAGGTGTACCCGGAGTATGCTGTCATCTACCGGCGGCAGTATGACAAAACCAAGGCGCCGTTTGCGCGTTGGCGCACGAAAGCACAGACGCTTTCTGCTCACAGTGCATGTTTGTACATGAGAAATGGGTTGGAATTGGTTGGAGTCTGAGTCATGCTTTCGGATGCCTCATGGCCTGGTTATTGCATAATATATTGATGCATGTGCTGGCAAAGAATTAAATGGGCGCTGCAATGCAATGCAATGCTGGGCTTTTCGGCAGTAGCCACCTTTTCAGGGTTGTAGACTCACAATCGGATCCAGCTTGGAAACCTAGAATTTGAACTTTGATGTTCATGATGGAGTTGACCCTGTAGAGAAGCATAGCCACAGCAACACAGCAACCATCAGCAACACCAAAAACGGAAGCGAACGCATGCAAAGACCTGAACCCAGCTTGAAGGGAAACGTGGCTCCCGTTCAATACTCAATCCGAAGAGGTCCGAAGTCAACGATTCTTTCGCAGCGGCGCGAAGATGGCCGCCGTGGCGGCGAAGAAAGAGACGGACCTTCTCTACCAGGACCTTCAAAGTGACCTCTTTGGAGTCTCTAAGTGACCTCTTTAGGACGATTCGTGACCTCATTCTAGGATCTCAAGGGCGGTCACTTTGAAGGTCCTGGTAGACATTCCGTTTTCGTACCTTCTCAGGTCTTGGTCTGACTGGACCCTGGCACCCTACAGTACATAGCACGCATAGTGTCGAACACATCACCTTCGAAAAGGTTCGGTAGGAGTCACGAGTGACCGGCGTAAGAGATCGAAGTAAGCTGAACGAGTCACAGGGTCACTTTGAATCAGGCAGACATCGCAGATTTGGGGTTTGTATGGGTTTGCTTTCAATTAGGAAGACATCCAACCCATGGTTTCTTTTGGGGTGTCTATTTCCCAAACCTTCCAGGGGGGGTCGTTGCCTTATGGGGGGCCTCCCTGTCAAGCCACGCACCCATGGTCACTGTCCAACGGCGCTCAACTTGGAACCGTGGCCCGGGGGGTCGACTAGCTGCCCTGAAGGCTCACAAGCCACAGCCGAAAAATCTCCAAAGATACTGAGCTGTATAGGAATTGCATCTATAGGAGCATCATATCGGAGCCCAGTGGTTTTTTTTTTGGACGTGGATCTCCACTCTAAAATGTCTTGGCCACCGTGCCACTATCTACAGTGGTTTCAAGAGTAGATTGCACAAACCCCTACATGTCCTAGACAGATGGGGGTTCATACCACCGACATTGGGGATTGTGCCATCTACTCTGAACCGTATTTTGGACCACTATATCTTCAATTCCAATCCGCACCACGCTGCACCGCCGCACCGAGTCGGACCTCCGTCGTCCCAGGTGCCTCCGGACATGGTCACCCCGACATCCGGCAGGGACGCCCAAGGGAGGCAAAGCACCACCCTGGTGCTGGTCCGAAATCTGGAAGAAGTACACACCGGGTGGTGCTTTTTATTCCACAGAGCTCCGGTGCTGGTGGAGGGCAATTAGGGCCATCATGGGCCATCGAATCACGAATAAAAGCCCGTGTGGAAAACGACCGTGAGGCGGTGTGGAAAACGAAAGAACCCCCCCGAACAAAGTCATTGTCATGATTTTGCGGGTGCCGACAACAGTGCCCATAGTCGGATTGATTTCTTTTGGTTTTGCCATGGCTGAGTGTGGAAGGGGACGATTGACAACAGTGACATTGATTGAAACAACATGTTGGGCAACAGCTTGAGTGTGATGTTGGATTTCTATGCTTTGGCGTCTTTCAACTTGATGGATCCAATCTCAGACCACATCCTTACATTGGAAATGGCCAATGTGGTAGAGATACGGCTACACCATCGGAATCGAGCAGTTGGGGACTGTGCCAAGGATTTGCACGGACCAAATGCACAATTAGCATGTGCTCAACGGCCACAGAGGGACCTCATGTTCATTCATAATGCTTATAGTGCCGGTTCCTGCGCGCCCGTTCCAGTGCTGGGGTTGCCAAGTGTTTGGTGGCTCAGATCGTTCTGAGAGGGATGATGTAACGGAGGGCATCAAAAGACATACTGCATCTAGTCAGTCAGTGGATAATCACTCAGGAAGCTGAAGGAGTCAGAAACACATGGCCGCCCCATGCCCCAAAAAAAGAACACCAGAGAGAGAGTGGGAAGTGGGAGAAGTGAGAGCTTTTTGGCGCTGAGGCACTACAGGCAGGTTTTGGCAGATGAAGGTGGGAGGAGACTGGAAGATACTTGGAGTGCAGATTCTCCTGGGCAAAATTTCAGGTGAACAACCGGAACAAGACTCAAAATGGTCAGGAATTCAAGTCTGTTGGCAGTGGTGGTCCCACGGTTTTCTCATGTTTTCTCTAAATCACTTGCCATCAGCCCCCCAAAAGAGAAGACAATCTAGCAAAGGTTCACCCACTGAACAGGTGTAGAAGATGCTACATGTTATATCGGTAATTATATACTTGCCTCAGGCACTCCATGGGACTGCCATAGGACTGCCTACCAGTTTGGGTGGTGGTGCCAGGGGGGTCAATGGGGCGGCATATATGGCAGTCCCATGGAGTGTTTGGGTACAGTACTGGAATTCCCACATTTCACTCCAAGACGGTGACGCTCGGACCGCTCGGATGGAGCTGCCATGCCCGCTTATTGCCTGCTGGTCGCCATCGACATGTCGGATGGTATGCATGTCTGACATGCCAATGACCAAGATCTGGGAACGTTTGAGCGGACATGTGCAAGGGTTCTAGGGCGGCACCAGGGAATCACCAAGTAAACTAGCATTTCCTTGGCCAGCATGTCAAAGGCTGCCACGTCTAAGCTGATGAATTCTGGACAGTCCGCGGTGGTGATCGTCCCCAATGGGGATTCTTTGTGTCACAGCACGGCTCGACAACCACGAGGTCAACGGGAGAAGGCCATTCTGCTGCAGGGCACATCCAAGACACTGGAGACAGATTCCAGACCTTTCAATCACAAAGTTCACAAAGGTCCAAGGTTTTGTTTGGAAGGAAGACGGAGGTCTGGCAAACACGGCCTTCTTCCAAACACAAGTTATTCCATGTCAATGGTTCTTCCTTCATCACATGACTAGGAACTGGCCTGCGTTTGGCACCCTTTCTGAGCTTCACCCCGTTTCGTTGCTCCCCTTTTTTCCTTCGCTCCTCAGCTTCTTTGTTTGCAAGGAATGTGCCGCCAGAGGTGAACAAAGTCTTGCGTGGGCCCCGACCGGGTCCGAAGCGTCCGACGCGTCCGACGCGTGAGGTTCTTGCAGCCACACTGAACCAAGGGTTTCAGTGTAGCACCCTTGCATACTCATGGCATAGCACTCCACAAGAATTACAGTATACAGTATATGTATATATATATATATATCAGTGAATAGTATACTATAGATTGCTTTTTTTTTTTCTCTTGTATTGAGGCATTTTGGAGACATACAAAGAGAAGTCATGGAACTTGACACCCACAAGCTGTGTTACACGTTGCACCGCACTAACCTAATATTTGAGAGCACTGCAATTAGCACTACATACTACTCTTTTGCCTGTTGCCTCTTCATGGGCAATCCGACTTTGCATGAAGAACTGGTGGTTTTGACATGTTTTGACAGGCGTTTTTTGTGTCTCAGCTTGTGCCGGATCTCCTAACAAGTCAGGAGTTGTGAGGGCAAAAGGTCACCAGAGCCCATTGCCTCTTCAATTCCACGGGCGATGAGTTTGCAAGCTTTCTCGGACAGCACCCCTAGGGGTAGGATCAGCAAGGAGAACGGTTATATAGGTGATGACAAGGGGGATGGTTAGGATGCCAGCAGAACAGGGAGAGAGAGAGAGAGAGAGAATGAGGTGTGCCTTTTGATGTTCAAATGTTTGAGCATCTAACTACAACATGTCGCGTTGCTCTTGAGGCTTCAGGCGACAAAGAATGGAGACGAGGAAGTCACCATCACCTTTAATGACAAAGACTATGTCACCCGGCCATTTGAAGACTCTGTTGCGCAAGCCGGTGTGAAACGCTACAGAGATCTTTGACGTCCCTTGCCGCTTGAGTTTGTTGTTGACGTCCCATGGTGTCCCTCAAGGGGCTCAAGATTGGAATGTTACTGCCACTGTGTGGTGGCTATTCATCCACACCCAATCCGCATGGGGTGGGGAAACCATCAGCATAACGAGCAGACAGATGTTTACCCGGTGGTTACGAGCATCTGGGCGATTTCGTTGCCGCCCCCCCAGCCTGCCCAAGCTTGTGAATCAGATTTGAAGATATATTATAGACCATATGATGATCACATAATAATTGTCAGATATTTTCTAGATTAGATCGATATTTTTTTTTTGATAATGTATAGTTGCTGTATGTACTACTCTTATGATTTGTTATACAGTTTACATGTGTTCAGTTCATATATTTATTTAGACCCATGCAACCTTCCAACCCCTCAGCCCTGAAACCAGCTACACTCCTGGCAACGTCGGAAGAAGATGGAGGTGTTGAACCTGCAGCGGCCATTCAACCATCATAGCTAAAGAGGAACAACGTAGTACCACCCGGCATTTGAGTGATGTGTTGCTTTTGTTTTTGTATTTGTTTATGTGATGTATGATAATGTGTGTGTGTGTGTTTGCTTGTTTGTGCTTTTGTGGTACCCACAATGTTGTTTGATATGTTTGGCATTGGCCCCTACATTCACCGCGGCTGGGACATCAGCCATCATCAGCCAGTCGCATAAATTCTGGCTATTTTGCTGTCGTGACGGATTCTCATCCACAGAGTGAGAAACTTTTGGAGGAACTTCCAGGAGCACATGCCCTACCTGTGGCAGAGAACACATCGAAAACGCTTCCGCAAACAATACCATGTCATTGATGCTATCAATCGCAAAAACATGCAAAAACGATAGGGGCACCCACATTTACCTTGGATATCCTTGGATGATTTTGAAATCATGTAGCACCCGCTGCCTCAGTCGCTCAACATCATCTCTCTTTTCTGGTCTGGTTCCACAGATCTGTTGAGTCGGGCCTGGGTCGCACGGCGGGACGACTTCGCGCCAGCTCTTTAACCTGCTGGAGAAGAAGGGCACCAACATCAAGACTCTTTGGCTTTTGTTCGTCCAAGGGGCAGGGGACGACGAGCGAGCTGACGACGTGCTACTTACTTACTGCTAGTTGTTGCTTGTGGAAATGGAGGCAGTGGCGTCAGGATTGAGAAGACCCCTGTAGGACACTGGTCGATATACCCCACAAAGAACACCATGCACCATGGTTTCCTCGCTTGTGGGCATCTGGCCCACAAAGTTAGGCGCCTTGGCTGAAGACGGGTGTACTGAAAGGGTTTTGTGTTACGGCTTTGGGTTGTTTGGTAAGAATCCATCGAGGAACACCATGGAAAACCAATCAAACAACCCAAACCCCCGAGGCTGATGGTCACATCCTTGGCTTTACTCGATCTATATCTCCGAATCCGTCCGTCTCATCGTCCGCCGATGGTGAGGACCGGGAACAAGGTTCCCCTACGCGCTCCGATGGTGAGATGAGAGTCTCACCCGAACGGCGGCGGCAAACGGCCCTTGCGAAGCAAGAGCTGGATAGGAAGACCAGCTGCGAAGAGGACATCGGCGATGGTGAGAGTGGTCTTGTTGAGTCACAGTGACGTGGCTTACGGGTTGTTGGTTGTAAAGGAGTTTTCATGAGATCCTGAGATCCCCAAGACTAAGACCAATAGAAGTCTATTTATGAGAAGAGACCCTCCAAAACTAAGTCTCTTTATGATGGGAGGCCCCCAAAACTAAGTCGACTTTTTTAATGAGGGGAGACCTCCAAAACTAAGTCTCTTCATGAGGAGACATCCCTAAGCCCAAATCTCTTTGTACAGAGAGATCCCCAAGACTTAATATCTTCATGAAGAGAGATCACGAAGGCATGAAGGACAGGACTTATGAGGCTGAAGATTCAATCAGGAAGAAGAAGATGAAGAAGGACACGGAAGGATGGTGCAAGAGAAGGCCTGTGGGAAGAGTTTTTCTACCTTCTTGGGGGGGCACCAAATTCATTGGTTGGGGAGGGGGGGTTTGTTTGGAGTGTTTGTGGGGTACCCCCTGTGCGAGCTTGACACAATCATTTGTTGGATAGGCTTCTTGCAATATTTTTACGATACATATTATATAAAGATATTCTGGTGGTGCTTATGGGGGAATTTTTGAGGATGAGATGAGTCCAAGGAACATTGAAATGCATTGGAGGGTGGAGCAGGAGAATTGGGTGAGGAGGAGGCTGAAGACGGAAGATGAGTTAGTTGAGAAGCAGGATGCCAGCATGGATCCACTGCATTTCCTGCACGTACCCACTTATTTGGCCGAAGTAATGGACCAAACTCATTGGGTGGGGTTAATGCGCCCACGTAGGCCAGTGTTTTTTTTCCTCAAAGTTGGTTAGTATTGCAGGACAAAGGCCAAACTAACAGGGGGAAGTTCCTTAATGATGTGTCAATAGTCTTTCACGGGGCCATTCTGAACAGGAGACCATAGCGAACACAAATGAAATCAGCTGGTGGTTAGACCACGGGCCTTCTCACCTTTCTCAGGACAGAATCGCCACAAACAAATTCATTGGTTCTTGATTTTTTGTAAATCTATATGTTCCTGCGATGCCAGTAATATGGTCCGATTTGTGATGGACACGGGGGAACTGACGTTTATATAACCCTATGCATCTTATGGATGCAGAGTGCTGACTGGATCACCTGTAAAACTACATACATGGCACCAATTGATGCATATATAGGTGCAGGCTGAGAGAGAGAGAGAGACAGACAGATAGACAGACAGGTGTAGCTAGCACACCTCATGTTTCAATGATATTTGGAATTAACATATTTTTTGCACCACTTGCCAGAAAGTTTCTTGTTTTGGAAGCTGGACACCACGCGTTACCTCCTTGGCAGCCAGGCATCTCAATTGGAAAGAACAAGATATATACTTCGCTAGCTGGCTTCAGCTTGTTTGCGCTCATAAACGTGAGCAGAAGCCTAGCCTAGCCACGCCACCAGGACCAGCACATCCTGTGAGGATCGACTCTGCTTCATGCCCAGATGCCCTATATGTAGGTCCTACCATACAAGAGGGGTCAATGTAGGCATGCATTCCATACTACATGGAGCGTTTTGTGATGTAAATCATGTGTGTATTGCTCGACCCATTTCTTGTGGAGGGTTCCTGGTTTTGAGACAAACTCCCCTGGAGTTCACGTTAGGGTTCAGTGAAATCCCTCTTGCAAACTAGACATTTGGCTTGCACATCGATAGAAAAGAGGGCATCAAATCGGTCGGAGACATCGATCAGAGGGTGTTTTGTTGTCGTCAACTTCCCTCGTCTATGGGTCGTACTCAGGGCCACGAGTTGGTTCATGGGTTATTGTCCAATGGTTTAAGTGTTCCATTTCCAAGTGTCCTACAAGAGTGTTCCACAAAAGCGTCCTAGAAGAGTGTCCTGCAAGGGTGTCCCACAAGACTTTATCGCGGTTTGATTGTCTGTATATAACTGAGTTGTGTCCATCAATGGGATCTTTTTTGAGCTGAAGAGTGTGGGATTTGTCAAGATGTACGACCTACCATATTAGTTAGTTCATATTATACAGACCCCCGATTAGATAGAAAAGTAAATCCCCACTAGAAACCGTGCCACGACTAATATTTGGGGACCGCTATATTCTTTGTATTTGTTTGTGTGTTGGAGGAGACCTTATAAGGATCCATGGTTCATTTCATGTGCTTGTCCTGGAGTATTGACACGTGAGCCATGTCACCTGGACCATGGCTGACTCCGATGAGCCTAAGAGCAGTCGCAAGAAAGGGAAGCGGTGACAAGTGTTTGGCAGGAATGGCTAATTGTGTAGTAGGTATAGGTCTACTTGAAGCCGCGAGTGTCAGGACAGACGCATGTGGACACTGAAATCCGACTTTAGTCTGGTTCATTTTGTTGAAGTGGGGAAGCAAAAAGGAAACAGTAGCGACAGTACGCTAGACTCAATGGCATCATTCATCGACCTGTCGCGACGTTTGGGCTCCATGACGCCCGTGTGCAGGGCACCGTGACTTCGGTACCCACGCGGGGCCCGGGCGTGGCGTGGCTCCAAATGGCTCCTGGGATGCAGAAGCGTCGCGAGCCACACTGTTGAACAATTATATGCTATTATATATTGTTTCTAATAGCTTCTTGTTACTACTAGTAAGGCTGCTCCTAGTAGCGATGCACTTGTTCCCAGTAGCTTCTTGTTCCTAGTCGCGATGCAGAACGGGGCCTGAAGAACGGGTTCTGTCTCTCAGCCTTCGAGCGCGACATCGGCGCGAGTCGTCGAGCGCTCCATCTCCCAAACGACTCCGTTGTTCAGCAGGGATTCCTCGGGTTTGGGATTTGACTTGGCCAAAATATGGTTTGACATGGTTTGTATCCGGTATGCCCCAATTGATATGTCCGAGTATGACACGTTTCATGTTGGATACTACTCTTGGGATTCATGTTTATGGTAAGGCTGTTGAGGGTAGAAGATCACCACAGTACTGACCCCACTTGTTTTCCCTCGGCCACATGCATGTATTCGCATCAACACCGGGAAACCCACAGATGGTGGCCAAGCCGTTGCCCATCCCTAATATATGGACTACTTTTTAGTCCAAACATGTTTCAACAACATGTGCACCACCATAAGTCAAGGCTCTTCCTACTAGAGGTCTCCAAAGGCTAGCGGCTATATACACTCGAAAACCTGCTGCTTGGGGTGCTAGAGTGACAATGCCTCCAATGATGCGATACCTTTACTAGCAACACATCGGGGACAGGCCTTCTTGATTCTCAACTTCAGGAGCTCCACCCAGGCTTGCTACACACTCCTACCGGTTAACAGACAATGGCACAATGTACTTATATTAATTTAGACTGTATTTATATATCAGTATACATATATATATATATATACAGACAGCGTTTTGCACAGGCCTGCTACATATTCATGGCAACATTGAAGCAACTGTCCGAATCTCTCCAAAGGGGATCAGATTTGGCAACGCAATTCTGGGAACACACAAACCTGGGAAGGGAAGATGCCTGGTTTGACGTTCGTAGGCTTTTTCTTGGATCACCGACTAGCAGCGCAGCGGCCGCCCAGGAGCGCATGGGATGCCCGTTCTCGATTTTCAAGCTGGTGATGCGCTAAGGCGAGATCTCGGGCGATTTGACAGTGAATGGAGGGTTTTCACATCCCGCATGGGCTCCAGCCGTACCTCCTCAGAAGGTATGACTGGACTCTCCTGGCACCCACCCCAAATACCTTCTCAGGAGGTGCTTGGAGCCCCTAGGGTTTTCCCAAGATGTTTTAAGTTTGAGGAGTTGTGAATAGACATCCACAGGGCTCGGGTGATTCGACAAAACATGCGTCATCCAGCAGCCTGTATTGTATTGTTTGTTGTTTTGCTCGTGGGGCAAGGAACATTACAGACAGAAGACGTTTGGACACCATCTGAAACGGATCTTCCAATGGCTTCCCATCAGCGGACGGATCTTCCATGATCTTCCCTTTCGAGGACTTGGTCCAGATGCTCATCCACTTGGGACTTTATCCAGTGGCCTAGTGGCCTTGAACTTTTTGGCTCACGGACCTAGCCGACTGAAAGGCACAAGCGTCCTGAGGGCGCCGACTGCATTTAAGTGTTGCCTCGCTTTTGTGTAGGGTGGCCTGCGGGTGTAGAAACAGACTCTGCCACCGGGGCACCTGCTCTTCCAAACCCATCCCTTAGGCTCACCCCTGCTTTAATCATCAATGACCTTTTAGTCGCCAGTAGCACAACTCTACATCCCACGAGAGTGACCCCCTGTCAACAGTTCAGAAACACATCAAACCAGCACTACCCAGTTTGGGTGGTGACGGTGATGATTGGACGGTACACGTGGTGGAGGGATTGTCAAAACAACCACCCTGTAGATCCTTCTGGATGGTGCTGGCAGCGTCTCAGCTTTCGGTTAGGATTGAGGTACTCCCAACAGCGAGAGCCCAAACCGGGCCACGCGACGTCGCCTCAAAGAAAGCGCTTTCACTCGCGCAGGGTCGCTGATGGCCCCACCACCCCGGTGGCTGCGAGCACCGAGGGTGGCAGTTCGTCGGCCACCGCGGAATGGCCACGGCGGCTGCAACCGGTGTGGGGTGGGGCAGAGGGTTTGCTTGACTACGTGGTCAATGTGCTTATTTTTTTAACATAATTTCAATTTCCTTAAAACTTTCCCAGACGCTTGATGTATGGAAGCTACGTCGACATTGACTCCTGGAAACCACGTCCCATGTAGTGTGCCATGTGTTTGCATCCCATGGAGTGCCTGGGCTTGTGACATTGTGTCATTGAGACCTGGATGGTGTAGGAGTGAGTTGGATTTTATGATTTGCTATGTCCATCTTGTGGCTATGCGGGCGAGAGGCCATCATATTCTGTTGGCCCCTAAGCATCATCCATCAGTTGCAAGGAACAAAGCAGCTCGAAGAAGACTTGCCCAACGCGTTGTTGTCTTCCCCCGCTGGATCGGACAGAACACCTCACGACGTCTGGGGAGTAGTTGGGGTATTGGAGACATCGGTTTGGTCCTCGGATGGAGTGAGGTTTGGGGTTCATACCACGATCGATTGGACGGATCGGACCGTCACGGGCCTGGCTGGTGTTGGTTCGGACGTGAGGCGCAAGCTGCAGAACTCCATCGCCTCTTTGCAAGCTCTGGGCGTGCTAAAGGCGCTCGGCTTCCGCTCGGTTCGTTCTTTTGGTCGAGCAGAAGCCAGTCTTTTCCACTCCAGCTGGGCCAGGTTGGTTCGTTTGCTTTGGCTTGGTTGATTCCCACATCGTTACTTTAGCATCACGACCTATAGGACCCCATCTATGGCACTCATGGGCCAGGTTGACTTGTTGTTCAGCTGGCAGGTTGAATTGCAGTTCCACCTGGGGCTTTTGCCACTGCCAATTGGTCAGGAGAAGCCACCGGACAAGAAGCAGAGGCGACAGTCTTTGCTGGAGACCCAGCGGGCGCATTTGGTTGTGGACAGCAGGTCATACACCATCACATTCCTCCGGGCAGTTGCCATGCCAAGTTTGGGGAAGTGCACTGTCTACGCGCACCAACCACTGCGTAGACTGAGTCCGTGTCGCCTTTGCAAAGGCCATGTTCCTTTGAAAAATTCATGCAAACTCCAAGGTGAGAAAGCAAATCATCATGCCAGCACCACCCAGTTCGGGTGGTTTGACCCCCCTGGCCCCGATTTCCAGGTGATTTCCATCCAAGAACCTCCCGGGTCCCCTGGCGCTGCCTCTCAAACTGGGTCCCGCGGTGCTGGTGTAAGAAGACCTCCATTTCTTCTGACAGTGCGAACAGAGGACCCAACAGCAGGCAGGACGAGCATTCCGAAGAGCTTCGACTTGATGCCCCCAACCGAGACCGGTTTGGCCCACTGTTTTCCAACAAGCAGAGCCTGAGCTGAACAAGCAAACCACTAAAGTTAAAGTTAAGTGTCTTTTATTTATACATAGTTGGAGACTTCTGAATGTTCTATCGCTACGAGGATGCTCAGGCCAGCCAGATGGAAAGAGCCAGCAACATGAAGAGCCAGCGACATGAGGTGGACGGAGGAAGGAGACTGCCAGACAAACTTAGCTCTATTTTCATCCTCTACCGTAAAGGGCTTGCAACGGAAACATGTCAAGGAAGGATCCTCAGAATGCGTTAACTTCCACATGTTCGTCCAAGAATCAGCTGCGCCACACGCTATCCACACCATGGCTGAGCGGCAAGTGCTCACAAACCTGGCCTTTTGCAAAGCGACTGCACGGATTCGTAAAGACCTACCAAGTCATCAGGTGGGAGCCTACACCAAGAAAGAGTTTGCATGGCTTCTGGAAGGCTTGCCTGCCATAGGAGTTTTACATTTGGCCAGTCATGCAGCACGACTGGTTCGAGTGAAAGCTGCCTATGAGCGTGCTACCGTCCGTGAGCGGGCCACGTTGCTTCGGCAAACGCAGCGAACGAAGAAGGTTCGAAGAGCCGTCTTGCAGAGCAAACTGCCGAGATCTTTGACTGACATGGTCTTGTCCTTCATGGAATTCGATGCACCAGCCCATCAATTGGGGGGACTCCAGCGACTACATGTGATGTTGGACAGGGGCACGGTACGGCAGTTGTACTTCAGCTCGCCCTTTGTCAGATCAGATGCAGGAATGATGGCGGAGGAAGTGCGGGCGATTGACAGTCCACGTTTGGCGGCATCCTATCTTCGTGAACTGCAGAAGGAAGAACTGCCCTAGTGGCCAGAGCATGCCAGAGCAAAGGTTCGGCAAAGCATCCTGAGATGTACAGCTTTTTTGGTTTCTTTCAGGATTGCTTCCTGCAGGTGTGGATTATATAATTAGGGCCAAACTGCCAGATGTTACAGATCTTTGGTCAGAGGCAGCTGGCCGAACTGCCGAAATGCAGCGCAATTCACCAGAGGTGCGGCACCAGCGTCTTGGGGTCTGCGTCTTGGTGACCGTTCGCCTGGTTTGCTGACGGACTGAGGTCCAGCGGGAAAGAGGGATGTGTACGTCACCCCGGGAGACGGAGACTAAGTTACTAAATCGAGAACTGGAGAACGGAGACCAAGTTCAATCCTTCCAGGTTCATTATGGTTCAATTAGATGATTTATAATCCCTACCCCCTTAAGCTACTTCCGGGAGGGGGGACCTCAAAAAAGTAAGTTACATTTTAGGGTACCCCCCTAGGGGGTCAAAAAATGTAAGTAACCCCCCCCCCAGGCACCATCGAAACTAGTCAAGAGGGGGGGGGGCAAAACAATGTAACTTAGGGCCTGGGACGTGCTTACTTACATTTTTCCACCCCCCCCCTGGGGGGGTCGGCAGATCGGGGGAGGGGGGGGGGTCTGGAAAATGTAACTTGGGACCTGGGAGGCCTGAACTTACATTTTTAAACCCCCCCCCCAGGGTGTGTTGGCAGATCGAAGGGATGTGTGGGAGGTCTAAAAAATGTAAGTTGCAACCTGGCAGGCTTAGAGTTACATGTGTTTAAGACCCTCTCCCGGCCCCCCATATGTGTGTTGCCTACTACCTAGTTATTGCATGTTTTTGCGTATTGCTGCATGGTGCTGCGTGTTGTGGCCATTTCCTCGCACAGATGCCACATGATGCCACCATTTTCACATGGAAAATCATGGAAATCACATCGAAGAAGAGAGGCGTCAACTCCATTTCATAGCATACTTCATAGCATTTCATGCATTTTCAGTACTATGCAGACACTTAATCAATTTCTGTAATATATTATATATTTACATATAATTTCCGTATCGCATTGCCAAAGATTTTTCTTGGTGGCTCCAGTCAGCCGTCATGTCCTGGGAGATTGAGGGGCGCTCGCGGTATGCCAGTGACAAGGTCGACATTTACTGGCATTTCGTGCGAGATGATGGAACTCGCCAGAAGTTTAACAGTTTCAGTAAGGCCTCAGGACCTTTCGCATAAAGCTGAAATTTCATGTTCTAGCGTTTCTCCACTGCTGGTTGCCTTGTTGAGGGGTCCTTGCCAGTTTTGGTGCATGGGCCCTGGGAGGATTTGCCAAAGGCTCCGATATTCCAATGCCACCGACGAACACAGTTGCGCGAACTCTTTTGGGAGGAGCAGCTGTTTCGTATGGGAAAAGTGATGAAATCTGAGGAAGTGTCATGAAATTGTGCAATGCGCTAGGAAGGGCAGACTGCAAAGTCAAAGTCCCAAGAGCCAATGAGGCTGGGTACACTAAGGGATACTGGGCGATCCAGGTTGGCCAGTTATTTAGGTGAGGTGCACCCGGGTGCACCGGGAATTGTAAACGGCTGTGCTTTCATGCATCAGGCTGACAGTGAACCAGAAAAACGAGCAGACACAACTGCACCAAGCGCACACGCTGGAATCTGAGGCATTGTGTGCTGTTTTGCAGAAAAGCTGCATGTCCAAAAATGTAACTTATATTTGTCAGGTGAGAGATGGCAGCATTTTGGCCCATTAAAACACGTCAAGCAGAGTGTTCCTGTTGCTTTCTGACATATTCTTGGGACAGCTGTAGCCATGTGGGGACCCTTTGCGCTTATGCTTCTGTTGTGCTGCGCAGTAATTCCAAATGCGGCATTGGGGATGCGGCCGCTGGATGCTAGCACAACAGTGAGCGAGAGTGATTGGTTTCACGCCGGCCAGTACTTTGAGCTCCTGAAGAAGCATTGCCAAAAGTGGACAGGGCAGCAACGCTTCAGCTGTGTGGATGTGTTTTCTCACAGCCGGCGATTTGAAACACAATTCAAGAAGGGCGGGCTGGAAGCTGCATCGTACGACATTCAGAACAACCCGGAGCATGACATCACCACGTGTTATGGATTCTTGGTGCTTCTGGATATGGGCTTGGGGATACTTGGCTTTCCTTGAACGTTTTTGTTTCCCAAACAGTTTACTGTTGGGGTTCTATCATGTTCTATCTTAGAAAATCTTAGAAAAAAAGCTGGCCACACTCACTCGCCGCACTTTGACGAGGCTGCTGGATGCTGGCCTGATGCCTTGTGCACCACCTTGCAGTTTGTATGTCGGCATCTCCCAATCAGTTCATCGGCGCTTTGCTTGGAACTTATTGGGGGACACAAGCCGGCAATGCGTTAGGTTGAGCAACCTCATATTGGCCAATTTTGCGCCTGGCCTACCATGGTCTCATTTTATCATATTTCATCATATTTCATCTAATATAATCTAATTTTATTTTCTTTGCTTCTGATGAAGACGGTCAATGGGTGCTACATGTAACTTAATGTAACTTACATTTTTTGGTTTCTTTTTTTGTTGAGGTGGTCTTCCTTTTGCTCATGAAGACCTTCCGCCCCAATGTGTTCATCATTGTCGAACAACCAGTGTCAAGCTGGTTGTTTAAACAGAAGAATTTTGTGGACGTGGCCAAGAAGTGGTCTTTATGCCGGCATTTAACCAACATGGGTCTGTTTGGAGGGGACCTGTTGAAGCCAACGCATTTGATGTCGAATTTGCCTACCTTGACATCAGTGGAAAGGCGTGCAACGAAGTCGGCAAAAGCAAAATTTGATTCCAGAATCAGCCGCAAAAAGCAGAGGGCCATCGAGAAAGGTCAACGAGTCAAGGTGTACTATGTCCGCTCTGCGAGTGGTAAGTTTTCAGGCGGACCAGACCTTAGCCTGTCCGCTGTGTATCCACATGCCTTTATCCTTGGTGTATACAAAGCCTGGCAAAGACAGGTGCTGTGAACAGACATGGTTCACTCATGTTCACTCCAGACTTTTCATTTGTGATCGGTCACCAATGTGCCGTGTAGGTATGTGTCGTGAAGTGTTGTGAAGATGTTGCTGATCAAAGACGAACAAAACTGCAATCGTGCAGTATGTGGCAGCCATCCCAAAAAGCGTGATAATGTGTTTGCATAGTGTTCGCCGAACGATCCCATGTCCACCTCATGTTCTTCTGTGCCTGCATTTGTAGAA